CCCCAAAACCCCAAAACCCCAAAACCCCAAAACCCCAATTATTAGCACCAGTGTTGAAATTTAAGATCTCTGTTTAACTTGTCTCATCAAGTCCTTTAGTTCTAAAAGTTGCTGCTCTAGGTGTTTTCTGCGTTCAGTCTCCTCTGCAACTGCTCTTTCTAGTGCCTCCATCATTGCCACATCTCTTGGGTCTGCAGGACCATCTTCCTGAGTGATGTCAGTATCATGGTCAAGATCTTTGTCTAAATCCAGGACTTTTCAAGGTTGATTTTCTTGACTTGAATTTTTATGGAAACTCTGAACCAGTGATTTCCTAAAGATATTACCAGAGATTACTCTCTTATCTTCGTTTGTTGTCCTGCGATTAGCTTGTTGAACAACTTTATATTTTCAGATGTCAGTTTGCTCCTCTGAGATGCTTCATCTTTGACTGAGTTCAGCTTCTCCTCATAGCCTAGGTTTAGTAGAAAAAAATTACGTAAGTAGTCCTTTGGAAGCCTCACATCAGAAACTTTATATCTCTTCTTGTGAAGATATCTGTAGAGGTTTGAAAGCCTCTCTGACCGAGGTCCTGATTTAACCTCTGATTTAGTCACCTAGCGAAGGTTAAGAGTAAATTTTGATACATTTGAATGATTAAGAGTTTAATAAGGTTATTTTACTTACTTCTCTTCTTTTTGTTGCAGATAGATGACTCTTAGAAGTAGACTTTACATCGAATTCAGTAATGTTCTTAAATTTATTTAACGAGTAATTTCCTGAAAGAAGAGATAGACTCTCGGAAGTTGCTCTCTTATGACTTGTGACTGTCCGTCTATCAAAGAAAACTTTACCAGTTAGTGAATTCTTAAGCTTGGCTTGTATACCTTGGCTCTTTAGACATCTAGGGGCTCTAAACCTTTTCCATCAATTTTCAGAAAGTGTATTAGACAGTCCCATATTTTGTTTTGATGGGATAGAAAGAGAGTTGTTCAATAAAATTGGGGTCTTGGCTGGAATCTTGAAGATCTTCTTCCTACAAAGAATTAGACCAATACTTAACTTCTTTGCATTCTTTGGGTCAACTTTATCTCTAAAATTTGGATGGTATTCAATGCTGTTATACAACCTTGCAGCCCTATCTCTTGAATGACTTAAATAATTAAAGGACTTTCTGTTATTCATAAGAGGCTTTTTTCATCCTTTAGTTGAAAAAGTCATACTGTTTTCTCTTCAGTGACCTTTTTCCTACAAATTGAGAGAAAATTCTAACGAATAATTGCCAGAATTAGCTGATAAGAGCTTACCATAGCTTCAATAATTTTATTTTCTTAAGGGGTTTTGGGGTTTTGGGGTTTTGGGGTTTTGGGGTTTTGGGG